CAGAGCCGGGGGTCTCGCTCTTGATCAGCCTGAATCTTAAACTCCTGGCCTCAAGTGACCCTCCAGCCTCAGCCTCCCAGAGTGCCAGGATTATAGGAGTGAGCTTCACTTGGCACAGTGAGGCAAAGATTTTTAAAACAGGACAAAAATGAAAGCACAAATAGTATATGAAAAAAAAAAAAGGATATTGGTAAAATTAAAATGCTTGTCCTTCAAAAGACACTGGTTTTTTTTTGTTTGTTTTTTCTTTTTTGCCATGAATCAAAAAGACACTGTTAAGAAAACGAAAAGGCAAGGCAAATGCTAGAACATATTTACAAATCCGGGGCAGGAGTCATTGGATGACAAAGTGTCTGGGGGCTGGGAAGGGAGGGCTCCGCTGGCACCAGCCGGGTCTCCTGCCCAGCACAGCCCAGCATCCTGACGCTACACCAACACCAATTAATCTTTCCACGGGTCCCCATTTTCCAAGCTTCTAGCTCTCTCCCTGGGCACACTCATGGGCCAGAGGCCCAGCTGCACGGCGCTGCCCTCCCTCTGGACCACGTGCCTCCGGGTGGGCATGGTCCCCACCATCCCTGCGACAAGGGAGCAGGTGAACCCGCCCACTGGAGAGGGCGGGGCGGTCACCTCGTTGGCCGGCACGTGGACCCCGCCACACACAGGTCCTCCTCCTCGAGTCTCCCCGTGCCACCCACCAGGCACAGCTCCGGGAGGGGCGCTGCCTCCTCCTGCCACCGAGGTCAGGCCGGCAGGCGGCTGGACCAAGGCTTGGGGTGTCTTTTGGAAGAAATCCACCATCGGGGCAAGAGGGTAAAATGATCACGGAGTGGTCATGCTGGCAGCAATGGGAGGGAAAATAATGACACCTTTCTAAGGGAGTCAGCTGAACATTTTATAATTCTTCCCCAAATCAACTAAGCCATTTTCACAACATAAAACGAGCAAAAAAAAAAATGTAATTATTTCAAGGTGTCCTTCACCTCAAACTCACTCGAGACCCACAGCTTAGGGGTTTTAAAAAATACATATATTTAAAGCAAATATTATTGCAAATGACTACTCTGTAATTTGGATTAATTGCTTTGGGTTTTTTTCTGGAAATAAAATCTTTAAGGCAAACTCGTAAAAACGCTGGCGCGCAGAGCAGCTGTTGCCCCAGCGCGTCCTTTATGGAGAGTCCGGGGGCCTCCCCACGGGGGACTGGGGTGGGTCTCGGAGTCGCCTGTTTGGCCAAGGCCCCTGGGGTGTCTGTGTCACCCCCACCAGATGCCCTAATCGGGGACAGCCCCAGCCCACACCGTGGCGCCCACCACACCTGGCTAGAACCACAGCCTGAGAGTCTGGGGGTGGCCCTGAGAACCCCACCCAGGGAGCGTGCAGGAAGGGCCTGGCTGGGTCCCCCACGGCCCCTCCGTGGGGTGGGGCAGCGGCTCAGTGGGTCCTGCTCCGTCAGCTGAGGGGACCCGCCCGGGAGCATGTGCCGTGTGGGGCTCCAGCTGCAACTGAGGCCCCGTGAGATGCGTGGCTGAGTGTGTGCCGGGCAGTGGGAGTGTGGTGCAAAGGGTGGGAATGAAAGACTCCCCGACTCCGGGCACCTCCCTTGGGTCTTCCTGCCCTCCTGAGAGCAGCTCGGACTGGAGCCTTTTCTGGGCACAGGAGCCTGGCAAGACCCCGGGGCAGGGAGGGCTCTGCAGGGCCGCGAGGGGAGTTAGTTTTCAGGGTTGAGGGGCATAAGCGTGTGCAAGGCTGCGGGGGCACAGGAGGATGAGACCGGGCCGGGGCCATTCGGACATCTCTGGGGACCCTTGAGGGCAGTTTCGGCAGAATGAGGGGTGAAGGACAGAGTGTCCGGTGGGACAAGGGCACGGGTGTCACCGGCCCACCATCCACCCAGTTCCATCCATTGTGTTATTTGATTTGTTCTGTGCAGCAACCCTGAGAGGGGTCATCGTCCGTTCTTGGATCCCGTGCCCACAGTCACAGGGCCAGGGAGTGACAGATGGGGGCTGTGCTCATCCAGGTGCAGGGAATGGAGGACAGGAAGAGCAGGCCCCAGCTCCCAGAGAGCTCCAGCTGGGGCCAAAGCAGACAGGTGGGACCTGCCTGTCAAGGAGAAAGTCACCATGCAGGCGGCTGGACACAGAGGACGGACATCTGGGGTCCTGGGCCAGCTCCATCGCCAGTGTGCACTAGACCTGGAGCACATGCCATCCTTGTGCTGGGCCTCAGTTTCACCACTGGTTCACTGGACGGAGTGGTCCATTTGCCTAGGCACCCACCTACTCATCCACCAATCCATCCATTCATCCACTCATTCATCTGTCTCTTCTCCACTCATCCATCCACCTGTCCATCCACCCCTTAATCCACCACTTATCCATCTACCCACCCATCTACCCATCCACCCTCCGCGGGTTATGGATCGCGGGAGGTGATGGGCTCCAGGCTCAGGTGAACCGGATTTGCCTTTGTGCCGGCTTAATCTCACTGAACGCACATCCTTGGGGTCCACCCAGGCTGGAGCGTGTGTCACCGGCATTCCCTGCCTGTCCCAGGCTGGCAGTGCTCCGTGGGGTGGCCGGCCACACTCGCCTGTCCGTTTGTCGTGGACACGGGCTGCTTCCACCTGCCAGCTGCTTTCTGCCCTGTGATCATCGGGGCCAGCTCTTCTGCCGGGCACAGCCCTCCACTCCCGTCCCTCCCTCCCTCCTGACGCTGAGCCCCAGAGGCCGCGTGGGGTCCAACCTGGTGTCGCCCCTTGTCCCCAGTGGCTGTAGACTAGGTGCCTTTTCAAAGGTTCCGGCTGGTCAATAATGGACAATTTTGTCATTCTGTTGAGAATTTACTCGCCTTTCATTTGTGGCTCAAGCCCCAGGGGTTGTCTGAGGCTCTAGGAACTCCTGGGTCATTGTCCCCTTGTCCCTGATCCTGTGAGGAGGCAGGGGGTGGGGTGAGAACCCCACCAGGGTTAGGGGACTGGGGGTCTTTGCTGAGACCAGCCTCCACCCACACCCTTAAATTGGGTCTATCCCCCCAGAGAGTCAGGGACATGACTGTTTTGTTTCCTTATTCTCTCCAA